CTCTAAAGATGTTAATGATAATAATTAATAAGTGATTTTCTTTGCATTAAGTATATTTTTATATCAATAAGTAAAAAAATCTGTAGATAATCTTACATTTTATATTAAATATGATTATCTGATTAAATATTATTTTATTTTTGTTATAATTTATAACCAAAACTTATGGGGGAGTTTCTGTTTCCATGACTTTGGTTTTAATTGGCTGAACATTGTCTAAAAGTATTTCAATGGTCCAATAAACAACTAATTAATAACTGTTGATGCTAAAGTGCAATGTTTATACAACTAATTTAATAGTGATGTCAACTGTTAATTGATGGTCTCAGTGTTAAATATACAACTAATTAGGTGATGAGATTACTGTTAACGCCATAATTACCTAAGTTTGTTTAATGGCTACTGTTCAATAAATTGATAAAGAAATAATTTAAAATATAATAAAAAAATAATTAATTTTATGCACATTTTCTGCATTTCATTGATAAATATATTTACAAAAAAAAACTAATAAATATATTTCATATATTGATATTATTTAATTACTGTACTGATAGTGGTTTCAATATTCAAACTGGTACTTACAATGTGTCTTTGTTGTTCATGAACATTTTCATTTTGTTATTCTATCTTTCTTGATTTATTATAAATAGAATTTTTATTATGTTGTTACTCTTATAATAAAAACGATATTTCAGACATTTGTCTTTCATTTAAACCTCTTATCATTCAAACCATATTTAAATGAGTATAATGATAATCTTCTAATAATTCATCATAATTATGTCCTCATTGAAACCAACATTCTTACTTCTAATAATTAACAGGAATTCTTCAAAACACTGTTTAAATGGAACAAAATTCACTTTTCTGAGCTGATACTATACTTATTACAGTATAGATCATAATTATTTACATTTTCTCTTATATTTCAGAAAAATTATACTTTTATAATCATTCTTCAAATTCATAAATTCTTCTTAACGATACTCTCAAATTCAACAAAATGAATCATTAAATTGAATTTCCCCTTCATAATGAAAATAAATTTTCTTAATAAAAACATATAAAAAATGGGAGTGAAACGTCCATACAATTGACAAAATGGGAGTGAAACGTCTAGGTGTGAACCGTCTTGGGAGTGAAACGTCTCAATAGTGGAATGTCTTGGGAGTGAAACGTCTGACATTCTCTGCAACCTAAGCAATAAGCTTTTATTATATGCACAGGCACAAGTATCAGACCTGGGAAGAAAAAATATGACCAGATTGATAAAAAAACTTGTGTTCATCTTAAAATTGTCACAAACCAAAAAAAATGTAAATAATGACCCCCCTTTAAAAATATACTTTAAGTTAATAGTATATTTTTAAAGGGGGTCATTATTTACATTTTTTTTTTTGGTTTTTGACACTTTTAAGATGAACACAGTTTTTTTATCAATCTGGTCATACTTTTTCTTCCCAGGTCCGATACTCGTGCCTGTGATTATATGATGATGACTCAGGTATCCTTGTATTTGGTAAAATAAATCGTAAGATTAGTTAATTGACTATAAATTGTCTTTGCATCTTGGCAAGACAGAGTCTTTTCTTTTTTGTTAAAGTTTCAACTTAAACTGGGCCTAGCCTCCAGGTCACATGAAATGGTACTGCTATAAAGTACACATCTTTTGTTAAGTATTTAGGTGCAAACCTGGATCAAATTCTTTTGGCGTCGCCCTTTGATGCTTTGCATCAATGCTTTTCTTGTTATCATATGGAAAAAATCTCCATTCTGAATGGTTTACAGCAGCCGGTGTACGGGTAGAAATGGGGAAATCGTTGCAATTGTGTAGGGCATCGCCCAGGTACGTTTACGGCGAAAACAAACCCTTCCTATTATAGTAGTGTGGTGCAAAATTTTGTTCTATTTACAATGAACGTGGTGACAATTGACTCGCAAATTAGGATACCACGTTATTTTACGCTACTTAATAGCACATTGCTGCTCATTTAACAGAGTTAAAACATTGCAAATGCGAACACATGATATTGCCTCATTGCAGATTTTATATAAATTCAACAGAGTCACTATTTCAATGGCAAATTTGTTATTGCTAGATTGCACATTGCTTCTCACTTAATAGTAATAGTATTTGTGTGAATGACTATATATAATGGTTTAATTTTTTAGCGTAGGCAACACCGAAATACCGTATCCGCTCTGTGTTTTTATACTATTGTGTCCGAGAATAGGAATCAGTCCACAGTTATTTGCCTTTCGTTGACCACAATAAGGAAGTAAATCCACATAAAAGAGTGCCTGTGTTTAATGCCAGATATAAATGAATAATTGAATGAAAGAGATAGAAAAAAGGCCATTTCCTGACAGAATTCATTTCAAATAGTTGGTAAATGCCAATTTTGATCCAGATTTTATGCGAGTAAGTATTTTTTTTTAGTGTTTTTCTACATGACAGAACTCACATGGTTCCGGCTAATTACTGAAAACTGTCAGACTGATGTATTTTGAACTGAAATGCTGTGGAAAAATGATGAATGACCCCTAGTTTGCTATAGATAGAATTATTTATCTTGGATGGTACTGTAAGCACAACTGACTTTGATTTGATTGGAGAGTTAGTAATATTGCCACAGGGTTTAATGTTTATATAGAACATATAGTGACATGAATTGTGGTCTGAGGCCAGGTCATTATCCGATGATTGACGGAAAGGCCCGAAAAATTTTGATTGAGTTAAAATGTTATCACGCGCCTGTCAGAATAACCGGTATCCGGGATCTTTTAAGATACATAGTAACAATCTTGCATTGACAACCTTTTCACAGGTGTCATTGATAAACTATATATTGTTACAGATTTGTTATGATATACATGTAAATAAGACTGAAAAACGGAAATAATTACAATTATAGTCTTGTACAGTATTCTTCAGTGTGTGTCAGTGTGTGTATTTGAATTTATTTATACTTGCTACTTGCCTTATTGGCAAGTCCTCCAGAAAAATGAATATTAGTCATTTTAGATTGAAGAGGATAGTGCAAGATACAGATACAAACATATACAAACATGTACAAAAATTCAAGGAGCTTCTCCTGGTTCTTAAGCGAATAATAATAATGATAATAATAATAATAATAATAATAATAATAATAATAAATTAATGATAATATCTTTACTTAATACCCTCCTCTAAATTTCCAGGGTATCTTAAAGTAACAGTAAAGTAATCTATAAAAATATTACTTTACAAAATGTCACGTTGGTTGACTTCCTAAATAAAGGTGTTAAAATTTAATTGCAATACATTTTGCTGTAAGCTATTGAAGTAATAATGTGTAAAGGACTTTCAAAAACAGTTGTTATTCAGAGCGGGCGCTATGGTGCAGTGGTAACACTGTCTGCCTACCAATCAAGGGGTCGTGAGTTCGATCCCCCGCTACTCCAATAAAAGAATGACTACAAGACTGGCAGAAAATCAGAATATGGGGACTAAATGTATAGGACATGCAAATAGAGACTTAACGGTTAAACATACAGATACAGTATAAACTGACCAGGACCTAATGCAAAAGGGAAATGACACATAACGGAACAGACAGAAAAAGACGACAGAAAAGAACATACAACAATGGACACCACCCAGGCAGAAAAGAGACATAACGGAACAGATAGCAAACAGCAAATACACATGGACGTCACCCGGACATAATGGAGCAGTCTACAAGACAAAGGGAACATAATGGAACAAGACACAAGGAAACCAACGGTACAGACAAGAGAAGGAACAGAAATAGGACACGAGTACCGGTCACATACACAACAACGGATGTTTACAAAACAAGGACAAAATTTAATGGAACATACAATAGTTAGTCTTAACGGAATAGTCCACAGAACAATGAAAGGAAAAGATTACATAGCACGGAATGGAAAATACGAAATAATACAAAGTGGAACGATAATAAATACTTAACAGGACAAACAAAAATGGAAAAGACAACAAGATAAATAACATGCTACATATCAAGCGGTAAACAGGTCCATACCTCGCTATTCATATATAAATCTCTCAGATAAAAGAGATGGTACATACGCAAAAGGACAGCATGGAAATTCCATAAGACAACAGTGTAACAGACGAAAAAATAGAACAGCATAAAAAAGCAAATAGAGAAATGAAACAAGACACGATAAGACTTACGTAGTGATATAGACAACACCTGCAGAAGACAATAAGAGTGATAAAAGTTATAGACATAACAGAATAGACAAGAAAAAATAAAGAAACAGAAACAAAAAAAAACGAGGGTAACGCAAGAACGCAGACCAGAACAACAACGGAAAAGACAACAAACAGCAAATTATCCAAGACCGTCCAACATATACAATGGCACAAGAAGTTTAATGGAAGCACAAAACGGTAAAAACTCATGCTCTTGAAAATTTGAATTACGGGGGAAAAAAACTTAAATAACCAATAAGAACGGACTCAACAAAATTCACAGATACATCCCTTCCGCAGTGTACTTCTTAACGTTTTAACCAACCATGACTTTATTATACTTGAAATCATGTTTGTAGAAACCAAAAGTACAAAATGCAAAATGCCAATCTGTTAAGTCGGATTTGTTTATAATTGGGCTATTTAAATTAAAAATTATTTTCAGACATATTTTCAATCGAAATCATACCGAAACAGACTTTATTTTCATTTGGATGTCAAATATATACATTCGTTTTACAAATGTGGTAGAACTACTTTGAATATGTATTAATTCCGATGCTATTACAAATTAAAGCCGGGAACGATTCCATTGTAACGGACCGAAGCGGTACTTGAATGTTTTGTATTGACTCGGAAGTCACAATAACGCTATGATGTCCGTTATAATGTGCATATTTGTAGGCGATATTTTGTTTCAGTATGTACAATGAAATATCACTTACGAAGTCTAACTCTGAGTTACACGTATCTGTTTTACGGTATGTTTATTTTTAGAATCTGTAGAAAAGAGGTCATAAATAAGATCATATCACATGAACATTAATAAAATAAATGTGGAGTATAACCACCTAACAATATTTAAGAATAGCACTTAAGAATTGGGTTACAATTTTCAAAATAATTGTCAATTTCATTTTTCCGTATTTCGAAAATAGTATCAAGCTGTCTATCAGGTGGATATTCATTGGTGTCGTGAATCACGTGACGAATCAGAATACTCAACACTGATTGGTCAAATTTATGACACCGCCCATCTTGTGTGTGACGTAAGTTGCACTCTGGTTTCAGGGGCGTTTTATCTGGTGAAATACATTGTTTGTTCAAGGCACACGAGGCCCAAGCATTCACAATAACTTTTGAAACCGTGTCATAGTGAAACATCAAAAAGCCACCGACCAGCTCGGTAAAGTTTCTAAACTTGCACACGTCTTCTTTTAAAAAGGTAAACGTTTTGCTATCAGTTTGTCTCGCGATTGTATATGATTTGCTGACGTCACGTCTGACGTAAAAGAGTAAACTGTTGTCAATAGCGAACTGTATTCCTACGTCAATATCAGGAGTTGTGAAACGTATTGAAGCATCTACCCAACAAACAAAACCAAATTCAACCAGTAGAATCTGTAAATAGAAATAATACAATAAGATATACGTGACGATTCACAATAAGCTGCCACGATAATGTTCTAAATGTACAAATGACATCATAAAGAATTCATGCTGTAAAAATGCATTATAATTCAGAAATTTGCAGACATTCCAATGGTCATAACTCATGAATCTGAATTGATGACTAGGCGACATTGACCTTTCGTCAATTTCTAACCCCAGCCAATGAATTTCGGAACCAGCAATCAGCAATCAATATCATCTATATATTTAAATCATTATTTTTCTTAGTTTTTAAATATTGACTGAATCATTTCTTGTATCATATTAAAGGGACTCCTCTGAGGTTTAAAAGCCTAAAAACATAACATTTGAATTTCTTACATAAATGAGCTTGGGTACTTTAAACAAAATATTTGCAAAGATAGTTTAGAAATATACTTTGAAATAAATTGAAAATCGTATTTTTATGCTTTTCTTTGCCCGATTTGAGTGAAAAAAGTTTAAACGCTTTTCATTTTGGGTCATTTTTTACAATTTGAATAATTCTGAAAAAACAAAGAGCGCGAATGATCTAACATTTTGCACAAAGAATAGTGGTCCAAACCTACATCAAATGGTACATTTATCTGGAAAAAATATTTCCAGTCCCATCATGTCAAAAAACCTCAGTGGAGTCCCTTTAAGTGACATTAACTTTCTTGCCTAGAGAGAAATTGATGGAGTCCGATATCAATGATCAATTATTATATAATTATCAATTATAAGACGTTTTCGTAGAATCAGAAATGATAAGTATGCTAGTTTTAAAAACTTCTGACGTGAAAAAATACGTCACTTGTAGAAAGCAGAACCAATAAGGGCACTGTGAAGTATTTCAAGCTTAAAAACATTTTGAACTGTAACTATGAACGAAGAAAACTGCATTTTTCTATGTTTGAAATGAAAAAAAAAAATATGATGAATAGATTATTGGGTTACAAAACCTGTATTATAATTGGTTTAAAGGCAAATGTTTCTTTTGTTCGGACATGTTCCGGAAGTTCCGTGAACGGAAATGATCGCACTTCACATCTGCACTTTGTCTTCAACTAAAAATCGTAATATAAAAGGTATTAGTCATTGTTAAAAATTGAATATCATTATCAAATATGGTTAATAAAATGTTTAATAACAAAATTGTGAACTTTTGATTAGCAGAAAAAAGAAAGTTCCACCATGTTTAATCGATAACACTGTTATACAGTTGGCAAGACCGATGGCAGAAACATTCCCGACAATTATTTGCTGTGAGTAAAGCGCTCAATCTTTCAAACATGTATAAACTGTCGTGGAAAAATGATAACTTTTAGTTTTAGGAATATTTACGTTGATTTTCTGAGTAAGTGTTACATTTACTGTACCACCAGCGTTATAAAATAAACATGATGTAAATTAATTAAATCAATTTACCGTTTTCAGCTGGCGGGAAGTTAGCCCAAGATCGTAAACATTATTTTCACAAGACCACTGTACTTCCTGTTTCCCATAATACCTTGGTGTATTGACCGAAACAACCCCATGGATTCGGGATAATGCAAAGAATCTATAGCAGTAACAATAACTGGAAATTTTGGAATGTCGTCTGGAGCAGACAAATTTCCGCCAATTTTCCACATGAATTCGTCTGCTGTACCCCTCGGGTAGTTTTTCACGACGTTTAAATTTTCTGCAAGTGTCGATTTAAATTTGTCTTCACATTCGACAGGACCATAATCTGAAATATTCGAAAGAAGAAAATGTATTTTGCCTTTACAAACATAAAATTCAAATTATGACGCTCATATTGAGGTACCTTGGAATACCAACTGTGACATTATTTGATGACCACATTTAATTGTATTCTGTAATACATGTATTACTTTTCATGAGATAATGTTACAATGAAGGAGTGCTTTATTAATTTTCATAACTGTTATGTTTATTATTTAATACAAAATTTACATACTTCCGAAAGTTACCTCCCTTGCTGGCGCTGATTCAGAATCTGTAAATAAACAAGTAAACGACATACAGCAAATCCTGTTTGTAAAGGATTGTGGAAAGGTTGTTGTAGGGGCGGGGGACTAGATTATAAAGAAATAATAAAGAATCAGATACTGACTTTTTTAACGTTTTTTTCACAACCGAAACTGTGTCTGAGGTGGATTTGAAGAATTCAAGTTTGAATGTAAGTGTTTAATATTTGGGATATTATACTGTTCTTGAGTATACATGTATTGAGAAACAGTTTGCTTTGAACTAAATTGCAAATGGATTTCCATTTATATATATTGCCATAAATAAAAATAATAGAAATCTTTTGTTGGGAACAAAATACATTAAATTCCATCTAACCTGTTTTGTTCAATTGAATACAAAATACATAACAGCAAGATGGTGATTGATATTTAAATCACTGAAAGCGGATATAAAATTCTAATTTAATTAGTCGAAACTGAAAGAAATACGTACATCGTGTATCTAGAATCTTTATTACACCAACTACGGTGAAAATGGACACTACAAACTTTATGACCCGCACAGCCAATTTCTGATCTGAAATAATAATATAAATATGACAATTTGATCTGATAATTCATGTAATAAATATGATATATTTGATTAATATAGAAAATAACTGGTTAACTTTCACTTCCAATATTAATCTAAACAATAACAGCATCAAGCTTCAAAAGTTAAATGAATATCACAAAATCCCTAGAGTTACATTTGTAATATAAATGACAACAATGTTTTTTTAAATAAAAAATCATCACATAATATTATAAAAGCATGTTTGATCAAATGCGATGTTTTCCCCATTGTTTTACAAAAAAGGCGAAATTGGCGCGAGCTAAAAATGGTTATGTACAGCAACACTTTTAGCAGGAGTTTTGTTTATCTTTTCATTTAGTTAGAATACAGAACCGACTATATAAATTCCTTTCCTATTGTAAATAATTTACAGACAGTGACATGATAATATAAGGTTTTGAAATTATAACTGATGTCTTTTAGAATCAAATATAAATACTAGTTAAATAAACTCATGCTTAACCTTTCCTTGCAATGCATTCGTCGGGTGATTGGTGTCTCATTTTATTAGGCCCCTGTAATAAAAATACTTAAAAGAGACATTTTGCTATTTTTTTTTTTCAAATGGAGCTAAATTGACTATATGTTTCAAATGATTTACTTTTATTATGTCACCGACCAATGGTTGATATTCGAAAATATTAAGGAAAATATATATTTCGATGGTAAATTACAGAATTTTTCTTAGGACACACAACTTATATAGCGTTCATTCCATGTAAATTATAACATTGAAATGATTTATTGCAACATGTAGTTTTATTTTGACCTTCACCTGATCACCCTTGAATGATCATAGGGTCACTTAAGTACCTGATAACTTAATAAATAACTCACAGCACGTAAAGCACGTGGTTATCATGATTTTGTATATGATACAAATGCGTATGTTTTTAATAGCATATTTACCCTTTTTTATAGTTATCCTATGTTTCTAACACATTCGATATCTTTTATGCCCATTAAGTGCAACGTCATATTACTTGGAATACTTCGTTCACAATTTCGTTTCCTGTTTTGAAATAAGTTAATATATCATGTCAACATACATGGAATAAAGATTACTTGTACTTCCGATATAGAAATGAAAAAAAAAAGAAGAAGAAAGAAATAAAAAGATTAGAAACAAAATAAGTAATTGTCATTACCTGTACACTACGTCCTTGATCTGTGAAAACTTCCAACGTTTTTAAAGTGTCATACAAGCGAATAAACAATTAAAACTATCAATCAACCCAGGACCATGAATGATACAGAAATACTTAAAATGACTATTTAGACACTACGGTCGTAGGAAATTGTCTATAGTGATAAAAATTAAAAATTCACATTTACTTTGCAAAACTCTTTTCAAATTCACGATATTTCCGCTAAATTCATTTTTAAAACGATTTAACATTGACCTTTCATCTATGAATCTGATATTTTATTATTTCTGTAAGCAAAACAATAAACTGATTTCAAACTTTATTGATGTATATTTTACAGGCTTAACTATGCCTTTAAGATATTAACATTTTAATTTATCTACAATAAAGTCATCTCTACTTCATTGAAATAAAAGTTTACGTGTTTGACTTAAGGAAGTGTTAAACTTATTCTGGAGACACACTCTAAGGCCTCCATAATGGTTTAATTTCAACAAATTGAACAGAGTTAGGCAGTTGCCATCTAATTCTTGCAAGCACCCTAAAAGAACCGTACCATCTCCAAAAAGCTGAACCGAAAAAAAAAATTTCATATAAAACAATCCAATAAATTGGATCTTTAAAGATCATGTGACGCCAAAGTTTTTATGAGTTTTTTTTCCGTAAATATAATGCTCAAATAAAGATTTAACAATATTGTAAGTTCCAATAAGCATTATTTGTAAAGATATTACTGAATTTGCATTTGATGTAAGTAAAGGTAGGTGATAAAACAATTATAAGCCATTTTTTTAAAATAAGAAAGTGATGCATATATGTTAATGACTACTTATAATGCGTAAAAATATTTGGGTGTATATTTAACATATTCTTGGGTGTTTCGAAATTGTTTTAGAAGAATAATTATATACACGTACATATATAAAAAAAAGTTGTCACATCCTTTATTACAGCATACAGTTCTTTTAAGCTATATAATGATATTATATAAAACGATTGCACTATTATAAGTACCATATCATTCCAAAATTGTATAATTATGTGCATTTTATGAATCACTACCCAAAATAAATCAACACAATAATCATGCAATGAATTAAATAACCACCAGAGCTCGTACATAAGCTTTGCAAATTTAAGTATAAAGCAGTATAAAATTTGCTGTCTACATGTTAATATACCGTTAATCACATGTAAGAAGGAAAAGCAACTCAGTAAAAATTATTATGTTTTGAAAGTAAGATTAATTCCCCCTTTCCTAATGAGTGTTAATAGAACATAAAAAAATCGAACTGAATCGATATGAACGGTGGCACAAAGGTGACATGTGTGTGTGTGTTTATTTATCTCGTGCGCAGGAGGAGATACTATGTCGTGGCCACGACTTACTTAAATCATTCAATTTGAAAGAATTATGCTTTTAGAAGCTAACTTTCCTTCAGTTTGGATAAAAAAGTTTCTACTTAAGTTTGTACTTGGTCGATAAATGGGTACCTTGCATTAACAATTTAAGTTATGCCTTACTCGTACAGAATATCACATAATTTACCTGATTGTACTGGGAAATAAACCACATGACTGGTTTAAATTTAAGTTCTTGTTTAAACCAACCAATTAATATAAAAATAAAAAATGAACTGAACGAATGAAAGAACGAATGAATTAGTTATAAGCGGCTGTATAAATGAACAAATAAATTGATAAAAAAAAGAAAGAACGAAAAAAAAATCAAATGTATGAATGAATGAATTTATAAATCTTGGGAGTAAATGAGAATTATGAAACAAGCATCAATTTCTTTCATTACTTGGGAAAATATTTGAAACATTTAGAAAATAATATGTAAGCCGACAAATGGAACGTGTTTTTTCCATTTAATTAGAGTTATCAAACAGCTATCACGTGTTGTAGCGCCGATATATGTCCAAATGTCAAAAAATGTCCAAACGACGATAAATTTCCAAAAATTGACGATAAATGTCTCAATCGCCGATAAATGTCCAAAACTCCTTTAACGATAAATGTCCAAAAATTAACGAAAAATGTCGCAACAAATTAGGTGCCCATAAATGTCCAAATCGGTTAACGATAAATGTCTCAACTTTTCATATGTTATTTGCACTTATTTCTATGATCAACAGTAATGAATCAGTCAGTTATAAAGGTTTCTGTAGGGATTAAAAGTACCGATTTAAGTAGCGTTCTCACCAGCATCCGGCAAAGCCCAGGACCACCCCAGACGATCCGGGATGAAAATATTGTCGCAGTCTCAATAACCCCGGTAGCACTACGGCGATACCCAATGTCCATACTTATAACAACCAGGATGAACTCCGGGCCATCCATGCAGAGTCCAGTTGAAACTACGGATAATGCAGATAGTAATGGACGACGGATGACCTAACACGATATTCAAACGCTTTTAAGTCTTCGATCAAAGAGATCATAAAAGCTGAGATCCATGCTAGCACAGCCCCGGATGATGTCGGCAGAGTCCCGGATGATCCCGGCAGAGCCCCGGTACGGTCAGATAGAGTGCCGACAATCACCGGTAGAGCCCCGGCAGAGCCCTTGATCATTCCGGACGTTGCCGACAGAGTTACGGACGTACCCCGGTCGTTCCTGGATCACATGACCGACCGACGGGACTCTAGCGGAATGCTTGTGAGATTGTTAAGAAAGTTTAAAAAGGGTATTTGAAAATAAGTTGATTGTTGGATACAGTCTATCCTTACTATTAAAAGGGAAAAAAATAAATTAAACCGATGTGCATTGTACTGGTGCTTTACACCGGGCACTTAAAAGAACCAGGGTCGCCTCTGAAACGGGGCGTCTTCTGTTTCATGCACTATCCCCCGAAAAATAATATACTAACAATCGTCAGGGGACGTTGGTTATATGGTCAACGATAAAAAAGTCAAATAAAATAAGATATTATGCCCCCCTTCGAAGAAGTGGGGGTATATTGCTTTGCCCATGTCGGTCGGTCTGTTCGTCCGTCGGTCCGTAGACCATGCCATTTCCGCTCAATAACTAGATAATGCTTTGGCTGATGGTCCTCATATTTGTTGTGAAGGTTGGTCATGACTAGTAAATGACCCATATTGATTTGGGGGTCAGTAGGTCAAAGGTAAAGGTCACAGTGACCTCACCATGAAAAGGTTGTTTTTAGAAGATATTTTGTGTGTAACATTGTGTCATTGACAACTACAGGTTTACTCAATTCATGGACCCATGGGTCATATTGGTTCTGCCCCATGGCAATGATATACATGTATTCCATAACAAATTTACTATGCAATTTTTATATACATTTAAAAATCTAATGTTATAATATTAAATTGGCTGTGTTTAGGGTGGCATACATGTTTTACAAACATATGTTAACATCTGCATTGCGCTACTCTACACTTAAAGCTATATTCAGTGTCGTCACTCGAACTCAACCTCCACTCATACTCGGGGAAGGCTTCGTTAAGGACGGATTGAGGATGCCTTGGTCAAGGTGAACTTAAGTGTAGAATTGGTATTCATATTTGAAAGTCTTCCTCGACTTACCCGAGGAAGATTTGAGTAGCAAATCACCCGTAAAAACACTGTTATAGGTGATCTGTTCAATTAAATATAAAATAATTATATAATTCATATGTAAATCAATTGGATTTCAAGATAAGTATTGATTTGAAAGTATCATAAATATGAGTTTGGTACAGACATTATTTGTACATGTACTTTGAAAATGATTTGAAGAATAAAACGTTGACTAATGAGCAAGTGGTCTGTGTACAATAATAATTTATCTATATTTAAATT